GGGGTCCTCTAGGGTAGCGCAGCACAACCCCGCCTTCAAAAAAAAAATAAAAAAAATCCTTGCTGTGTTTTTGCATCGCCCGGTTTCCCCAGGCGGACCCCCCCGGGCCCAACCAGCTGGGCGGCCGCCCAGCCTACCTTAAGGGCACTGTCTTTTCCCTCTTGCCTCAGGTGCCAGGCATGTTGTATCTGTATGATGCAGATGACCAGGTGTATATGTGTACCCCTAGACAGTGAGGCCGTGCAGATGCACAGATGACCTGGGTGGATCTCACGTCAAAGGAAAAATAGCATGGTTACCGTTGGGACTTGCGGACGGACATTGAGACGGTCTGGATCTGAATGCTGAGGTCTGGTGTCTGGGTCTGGTTGTCTGGATGTCCTCCCATGCAGAGAAATTCACAAATGAAGGGGACAGCGGCCTGGGACTGTCAGTCGGCTGGACAGGGGCGAGTCTGCCAGAGCTGCTTGTCTTCACGCATGCATGTGTGTGTGTGTGTGTGACAGACAGGCACGCAGGCAGACAGACAGACAGACAGACAGACAGACAGACAGACAGACAGACAGACAGACAGACAGACAGACAGGCAGACAGGCAGGCAGGCAGAAAGATAGAGATACACAGAGAGAGAGAGAGAGAGAGAGAGAGAGAGAGGGAGAGAGAGAGAGAGAGAGAGAGAGAGAGAGAGAGAGAGAGAGAGCAACTGCGGTCAGATGCATCAAGGTCCAGCTGTAATTACGGTCACATACATTTGAGATGGTCCTACTATCGTAACCCGAATAGAACACCCGGTCATTATAGCTGTATTTGGCACAACTTTCAGCCCAGCTACGGCGATAATTACCATGCGTTCTATTCAGGTGAAGACGGTAGTGTGAGTTTGCCCTCAGCAGTGCTCTGACTCAAATCAGTCGTAAAACTTTTGTTTTGTATATCGTTTTTTTTTTGTTTTCTTTGAGTGCATCCATACAGAACCAGACACTCGGGCCCCTCTAACCAGACAGTTGTTCATGTGTGGATGTGCGGATTCTTGTCTGGATCCGGACTGTATGGATGCATGAAGACGGGAGTCTGGCCAGACAGTCTGGATCTGTCTGGTGTCTGGGTCCTTTTCGACAATGGAAAATATCAGCTGGTATCTTGGTGCTTTCCCCTTTCTCCCTCGAGTCCTTCCCCCTTTTTTTTTTTCGGGACCATTTCTCGATTTATGTGTGTCATCCTCGTGCATGCAATCAGACTCGTTTTCAAACACACTTTTCATGCATGTAAACAGCAACGCAGCATACTGGCGACATGCGCCCACTCAAAACTCAGAGATATGGCTTTCAGATACGAGTTCACTCTCAATTGGCTATGGCGACTTCAGCGCCCAAACATCTCACTGTTCACATACACTGGATCACCCTGGATATCCCA